GCAAAGCAACTGAAACCCAGAGAAATAAAATGAGTTTCCCAAGTTCACTTAGCAAAATAGAGATGGAATCAAAACTGAATCCCAATCTCCTGGCCCCATTTTTTACAATCACAATATTTACCACAATATTATCTTGAACTTTACGCATAGAGATGAGGTTCTGGTCTTTCAACTTTCTCATGAATTATTCTAAGCCAGAGAAACTATTTTTTTATTTTTAGTGTTTTCCTTGTTTAATAATATGTATTTATTGTTGTGATTTTGGAAAAATGAAATGAGCTCTCCACCAATTTTTCTTTGTATACGGTGGATTTGCATCATAATTTTAACTAAATGCTAGCTAATTCGACAATATGGACTCAGGAAAAAGAAAAGAGAAAAGCCAAAAAATATTAAAACTCTTGATTTACACAGAAACCTTTCTTCTATTCAATCTAGGACTCTCTCTCTCGCTCTCTCTCTCTCTCTCTCTCTCTAGCTCTCTCTCTCTCGTTCTCTCTCTCGCTTTCTGTCTCCCTTCCTTGCTTTACTTTTCTGCTTAGCCATTATCACTATCTAACTTACCATGTTATACTTATTTACCTTCCTTTCTCTCTCTCTTATTTTATGTGGCTATGGTCAGACTATATATCTTTCACCTAACTTTTGTCATCTAAAATAATATATGTAATAAGCGTAGAAAGTATTATGAAAAGAAAACGTGGAGATGGTACTGATAATTGAAAAGAAAAAAAAATCACAGACCCTGATATAACTATCACTAAAATTTTAGTGTCTTGCGTTTTAGCTAATCATTTTCAGAGTGTAAATTTTAAATGACATTAAGATTTTACTACAGTTAGAATTTTGCATGCTATGGTCCTTTATAGGCTTAGAAATTTCACTGCAAAAACAACTTAGTGAGATAGATAAAAATTCACTTAATTGCTGCCCTATTTCTATATATTCATCTAGGTTGTTGTCAATCTCTTTCTTTTATATTGTCAAAATACACTTTTTGTGTGTGTGTGGAAAGCCTTTTCCAAACTTGGAATTAAGGAAATGACTTTTGAGTGGCCCCCATGCTACCCCTTACCATCTTGCCATGACCATCTCCTTCCCTCACCCCACCACTAATGTAATTTATGGCTCTGGCTTCTTAATTGTTTGAAGAGGATCCCTTAAGGGGTGACCTCCCAGTGTCTTCAATTATTATTTTAAATGATGCCTCAGGCTACTGCCTGGCACAGCGGGCCCTCACCTTCCCACCTCTGCCTTGGAGCTCAGCTGCCAAGTTGGCTGTGCCCCCTCCTATCCTCAGAGCTGCCTCCAGAGTCCCAGCAGAGAGCCAGATTAACCCCTTTTGTTAGCAGATGTAATTTGCCTGGGCTCAGTATTAATAAGGAATGCCGAAAGCAGTTGGGGTCAGGAAGACTGGATCTGTCAAGCCCCAGGGTTAATTTAATAGCAATCTGTTGGCTGTCTGGGTTGTATATTAGCCATGAATCCAATGCTTTGTTTTGCTTTTGCTGTTTAGTTCTTTGGGACAACAGGGGAAAAATATGGATAGAGAGCTCTAAAGGATAAGGAAGAGAAAATTGACTGTCAAAATGCATCATTCCATCTTCAAGATAATGCAGGAGAAGGTATTGCTCATCTCTTCCTCCTTTCCTGAAGGGCAAAACTACATGTGCTGAAGACATGCATCTCTCTTTAGAACAACATAAAGGAAAATCCCTGGGTTTCCAGAGAATGCAGACATGAAATATCCTCTCCCATCATCCCCATAAGCCATTGAATTTTTGGCAACTAGACTCCTTCTCTTGAATGTTTCCAGAACTCAGCAAATCCCCCATCAGATAACAATCCCGGAAAGCCTTGTCAGGTTTCTGTCCCAACTTCTGGTTCAAAAAAATTTATCGTATCATAGGACATAAAAAAATTCTGGTTCTGAAAAATATGGCTACCAAAGCGGTAAGTGAATTCAGACAGCATGAGCTCAAAGCAGGAGAGAGAGAGAGAGCTGCTCTCGGATTAGCCAGAGGTCATTTCAAGAGAGCCAGAACTGTCACACTCAGAAAGGCTGGCTTAGTGAGGCCATTCTCAGGGGAGACAGAGTGGCATTGTGGTAAAGAACCCAAGCTCTGGAATCAGGCAGACTTCAGTTCTAATCCCAGCTCTGTCCCCCACAAGTCATATGACCTGAGTAATTTATCTTAGTCACTGTGTTCTCAGCCATAAAATGGGCTTGTAATAGTGCTGGCATCGTAAGGCTGAGATGAGGGGCAGGTGAGTCAGCAACTGTAGAGAGCTGAGCACAAGCCAGGCCCAGCACCTGTAAATGTTAGCTGCTGCTGCTGTTGTCTTCCTCCTCTGTCTTCATCACCATAGCTGGTAAAAAGAGGGAACGAGTCATAGTTTATCCCCTGAACACCATAGAGTCATACCCAAACAAGCTCTCTAGTCAAAAGGCAGACTCAGACCTGCAGGAAGAAAGAAGCCGAGGGCCTGGGGATGAGGCATGGGAGGTAGGTGGCTTAGAGGTCCTGGATGAGTGGGAGGAAGGAAAGATTGAATAGCAGCAGCCCTAAGCATATTCCAGATTACATCCCCATAATGGCATCCTTGGTGGTGGGGATGTTCCTGGTCTTATAGATATGTATAAGCACTTGTTTTCACACGTTCTGACTTTTGGGCTTTATTTTTAGGAGGGAAAAAATAACTGTAGCTATAGCATCTCCCCCTCCCACACAGCCAAGATCCCTTCCAGTTAAGCTTGTGTTTAGAGCTCTACTGGTAGAGGTTGAGAAAGCTGACACCAGATTTTCTTTCCCTATTTCGGGAAAAGAGAAACATGCTCACTGGCACAGTAGGGAATCAAGGCTTCTTCTGGATGGTGATGAAATCTGACAGCTGAACACTAACCTCTGCTTACCCACCCCATGTCATGGCCACAAAGCCCAGGACAGGGATGGGGCAGCTGGGGAGGACATCATAACTGTAGCCTGGAGCCCCCTCCTGAGTAGCACAGGCTCTTGTTCTCGCTCTCCAGCGTGGGGTGTGACTGCAATGGTATTTATAACTCTGGCAGAAGTTGAGTTGAAAGGTAATAGTTTGTGAATCCAGGGGATCTACATGCCCTGAAGACTCAAGTAACATTTGCATCTGGGTTTGGTGGGGGAAAATGTGATGTTAGCTCAGTCTCAAGCTGATTTGGGAAAGAACCCAACGGGATTTATAAGAGATAATGGAAGGGGAATGGGGCACAGCCAAATACAAAGCTATCATTGCAACAATTGCATGTTGAAATAGTTGTAACAGGAGCATAGGTGATGTTCAATAATAGATGACTACTTTGTTAATTCTGGTGGGACTAAAAATACCAGTGCATTTGCTTATACCTCATCTAAACCCTAAGGAGGGGATGCTGCTACTTGCTTCATGAAAAGTATAGAAGACTTTCATCCATTCCAGTCTATATCAAGTTATTGCTTGTTGATTCAATGCACTGTTTTCCGAAAGGTGGTATATAAGCTCCTTGGCACACACACATTTTCATTTTAATTGTTATACATTTATTTTCATGTATTTCAGTAAAAGGGTAAATAGCTCATGAAACCCATGATTTTAGGAATATTGGATTACTGTTTACATGAGACTAAGAAAAACTGAGTCCATTTAAAGTTGATCTGAAGAGAAAATGTTGAGTAAAAATTACTCCCTGATGATTCACAGATGAGGCAAAAGTCACAAAGGTGCTCACAGGTGGTGACATCTAGGAAAAGTGGGAATCATCTTTGTGAGCTTTCCTGAATAACAGCATCCACATCACAGGGCCTGTTCCTGTGCAGGAAGTTGCTGGGTCCTCAGACCTCACCTCATCCACAGCCCGGTGCCTTCCAACCTGCGTTCTGCCCACCCCAGCTCTCAGTAGGGGTATGAAGGGTTCAGTACAAACCCGCACCTTCACCCGGGACAGACACCTACAGAAAGTGTTTGTTTCTGCTGAGTCACCTCTGTAAATGGAAAGCTAAACATTTCATTCCAATATATAAGGATATGGTCTTGAAAACAGAGTTATAATTCTTGATCAGATGATAAAACTAAGGGCATGTTCCATGGCAGCCTAAAACTCTCCTGCCATATAACTAGATGGCTTCTTTCTGATGCTTAAACTCCCACACAAGCTCTGAAGTAAATTACTTTAGAGCTTATGGAGACTAGACATTCTGTATATCTTAAATGAGAGAAATTTTGCATAATTGTGAAACAGCACAGATTTTGTACCTGGGATGAAATCCTAGTGTTGTCACTCATTAGCCCTGTGACTAGAAGCAAGTTAATTTACACACCCAGAGCCTCTTTTTCCACCCCTGAAAAATGGGGATAGGAAAAGTGTTGTAAGGATTGAGTGAGACAAAGTAAATGATATGCTTTGCACAGTGAATGACCTATAGTAATTGCTCAGTAAATGGTAGCAACTGTTATTATTAGCATTATCATCAATACATTATTAAAGAAGGTCTCAGGGATTTCATGGAAGAGGATTTGTAGTCTATCCTAGATATCATTTATCAGTCCAGGAATCCAGGTAAGGATTCAAATAAATTGAATTCTTCAGTTGGAATAGGACTAGTTCCTTAACCACTGTTAGAAAACAGGAAACAAAAGTCTCTGCAACTTGGCACATTTTAGCATGATCACGTGAGCAGGTAGCTTTGGTCACAAATAGATGTCTTCTATGTGTCGTACAAGATAAAACACTGATAAGGAGTCAAGAGACCTGAGTTCTAATGCTACCTCTGACCTACTGGGTTACCCTGGACCATTTCCCGAAAGTCTCTGAACCCCACCTGCCTAGGACCAATAATATGTGTGTCTTTGCTAAGAGTTACAGCGAGGATCTGCCATGTGCATGGTGAATGCTAACACGTTACACTTGTATAAGGTGGTGCCATTGCCAGTCCCCGCTCCCCGAGTTTCTGCCTCTCCTCGTTCGCTTCTTGACTCGTCTGTGCCAGATATCGTGGACATTAAGCCGGCTAACATGGAGGAGCTCACGGAGGTGATCACAGCAGCCGAGTTCCACCCGCATCACTGTAACACCTTTGTGTATAGCAGCAGCAAAGGGACAATCCGGCTGTGCGACATGAGGGCGTCGGCCCTGTGTGACAGGCACACCAAGTGTGAGTAGCAGCCCAAGGGTGACTGGGTGGGTGGGCCACTGGTTCCTGACAAGCAGGGGCAGGGAGGGGAGGTGCTGGGAGGCTTTGATGTCCTTTCCTACATTGGAGTCATGGGGAGTAAAGAATCTACGCATGTTGGTCTGACTCGAGTCACATCCACGTTTGGTAATTCAGTAAAAATGAAACCTCATGTTCAATTCCAACACATTTGGGTACAGAGATGACCCCTGTCAGTTAAGGGTTTAAATGACATTGTGACACAACACAAACTTTGTGTTAAGAACCTCACTCTTGATGCTGTGGAGAGCATGAGCCTGAGGGGCAGGGGGAGTCCAATGAGGAGACTGTCACAGGGTGCCTGGACAAGAGGCAATGTGGACATAGGAGGGGTAGATGGGTTCTAGACAGATCTTGGCAGTAGAGTTATGGCTATGGGAATCAGCACTCTGGAAGTCCCAATACTTCTAGTGGGCACCAGAGAAAAGCTTCAGAGAGAGGAAATAAAGTGCAGTGGGTCTCATGGGCACTCAGGTCCCGCTGGAGTTTTCAGGGCATTCACAGAGCCAAGCAGCTCCAAAGCCGGTAGGAGCTGAGTGCTCGGAAGCAGAAAGCGAAGACTGGAGATCTTGATGTGAGCAGATGAAGCCTGCTGGCACCGGCAGCCAGTGCTATGTAGACAAGATGGGCCTGGGGCTAGCAGGGAGGATTTCTAGAAAAGACACCACTCCCCAGAGCAGAGGGACCTGGAAAGCAATGGCAACCGATATCCAGTGTTGGGCTCAACAACGTGCAGCTGCAAGATGCTCAGGAGACACTAGAGCTGTGTGTGTCCTACCGTCAATTCTGCTAGTTACTGTCCTCCACTCCAATAGAAGTGGAGTGCTGAGGAGAGCCAGAAGTGAAGACCTTTCTCTCCCGCAGTCCCAGCTTTCAATTTCAATTCCTGTGTGACATGAATGACATGATGGCACTGTGTGTGGGTGTATGACTAGAAGGGGGATGCATGTCTTGGGGTGCATTCGGTGGTTTTTATTGGCTCATTTGCTGTCAGAGGTTTCACACAGGGGAGCTGGTAGTCGAGTGTTGAAGTACAAGCAGGATTTGATTAGGTGGGGAACAGAAGGAAGGATATGTTTGGCAGTGCCCACAGAATGGACAAAATTCTAAAGTTAATAAAGTACATGAAAACTTTAAAGAGTCTTAAAAAGTGTCAGGCTTAGGGGAAAGGGGAATATTGAGTTAATAAGATCAAATAGGGACGATGGCTTATATTGTATTCATCCTTAAAGATCAGAGTCAAAAGTGTATGCTCTCATGTATTCATTTATTGATTGATTTAAAACTTTAAAGAGTCTTAAAAAGTGTCAGGCTTAGGGGAAAGGGGAATATTGAGTTAATAAATCAAATAGGGACGATGGCTTATATTGTATTCATCCTTAAAGATCAGAGTCAAAAGTTTATGCTCTCATGTATTCATTTATTGATTGATTCATTCATTCATTGAGAACCCGCTTCATACCCAGCGCCTAGCTTCTGTGGTAGCCAGTTCTCGTTAAACTCTTTCACCAAGTATGGCTCCCATGGGGCCAGACTGTGAGCCCTGCTGCCATGGAAGAAGGGCATGCAGAGACCATCTAACCTCTCTGATGTGCTCTGGGTGGCCTGTCCTATCAGCAAAGGCAAAACAGCACGTGCCTGTCAGAGACCTATGACCCTGAAGGAGGTGCTGACCACAGGCGACTTTCTTTGAAGTCTTATTTTTCTATCTAAAATTTCATGTGAATTTTGCATTTTACCCCAGTAAAATGTCTATTTTCAGTTTAATAATGACATTTCCACCTGACCCCCAAATTTCAAGAATAATCACTGTTCCCAAAAGGTGAAGCAGTTATCCCATGGCTTTCTATACCCCCTGGTGCACCCCCATGCTCTCCCCCATCCCTGACCCCCAAGGATACATACATGTGACCCCATTTGAGAAGCACATTTCCTAGTATGTGGGGAGCAATTTGAGATCGTCTTGCTGGAGAGCAGAGTTAATAGAATTTGTGTTTTACGTAAGGTTAGCACAGTGGTGATATGAAGAAGGTACAGGAGTTAGAAAGTTTTGCTGTAGTCTCAATACAAGGGAAGTTCACAACCTAGATAAGGATGGTGGTTATGGAAATCGAAAGGATAGGAAGGGAAAAAGGAACATTTTATTTTAAAATAACTTTGAGGTTGGCATTCATCACACTTGGATGTGATACGACTTGTTCAGTGTCATTCCCCTCTGGACAGTAAACTCTCTGAGGCCAGGCACTGAATCTGGTTTGCTCACATTGTATTGTCAAGGCCTGACACATAAGTAGGTGGTCAGTAAATATTTATTTAGTAAATAAACGTATGTGTGAGGGTTGATAATGACACGTAGGGATAGGAACTGATGGGAGGCCATGCTGGGAGAGAGGGAAGGGTTGGGGCTCAGTTTGGGACAAGCCGTGTGAGGTGACACAGGCTCCTCAGGAGGCAGGGCCTCTCTGGTGAGTGAGGCACAACCAGGCTGAAGGGCCACGGACCCAGGGTGCATGCCAGAGATGGCCCAAGGAGCCCTGGCGTCCTCATAGCAGCGGACACCAGCCTGGGCTTTGGAGTCAGACCTGACTGAGAGGCTTGATAAACCTTGAGCTCAAGATGGAAAAAGGAGACTTTTTCCTTTACCTTAGAGACTTTCAGAACTATAGTGGGTCAGAGCAGATGGTTTGGAATCAGAACTCAGCTCCGACACTCACTGCCCGTGTGACCTCAGGCAAGTTGTTTGATCCTTGTGAACCCCAAGTTGCTCATTTGAAAGTAGAAATATTAAGAACAGTGTCATAGGGCTGGCTGTTCTCGAGAAGCACATGTCGTCATGAGTGTGAGATCCTAGTACTCTGCCGGGCACACGGGCATCAGCAAAGGGCAGCAGCAGTCATCACAGTTATTCCTCCTGAACCCCTGTTCCAGGCCTGCAGCTGAAAGATGCTTGAAACCCAACCCTTTTGCCACATAAAGGGGGCCCCATTATTCATTTATTAAATTAACATTTGTTGAGCACATAGTGCCTGTCAGGCTTGTCTCAGACTCTGAGGACACAATGATGAGCCCACACAGACCTAGTTTCCTCCCTCTTAGAGATCGCCGAATTCATCAGGGTTCTCCAGAGAACCAGAGCTCACAGGGTGTGCGCATGTGTGTATAAAGAGACTTACTATACGAAATTGGCTCACATGATTATGAAGGCTTGACAAGTCCCAAGATCTTCAATCAGCAACTGAAGACTCAGGAGAACCCATGGCGGTGTTCTTGTCCAAAGGCCAGCAAGATGAAGGCTCAGGAAGAACCAACATTTCAGGTCAAGTCCAAAAAAAACAAACAGAAAACCAATATCCCAGCTTAATTCCCTCTTCCTTGCAGGAGGGTCAGCCTTTTTATTCTATTCAGGCCCTCAACTGATTGGATGAGGCCCATCCACATCTGGGAGGGAAATCTACTTTACCCAGTCTATCAATTTAAATGTTCAGCTCATCCAAAAACACCCTTCCAGAAACACCCAGCCTGTCTGACCAAACACCTGGGCACCCCACGGCCCAGGCAGGTTGACATAAAATTAAGCACCTTGGGCCGGCCCGGTGGCGCACTGGAGAGTGCACCGCTTGGGAGCGCAGCGGCGCTCCCGCTGAGGGTTCGGATCCCATGTGGAGACCAGTTCCCGCTCACTGGCTGAGCACGGTGCGGGCGCAACACTGAGGGTTGCGATCCCGTTGCCGGTCCCCGGTACGGGCATGACACCAAGGGTTGCGATCCCGTTACCGGTCAGTAAAAAAGACAAAAAGGAAAAATAAATAAATAAATAAATAAAATTAAGCACCTTGTCTAAGGAGTAAAGACGCATTAATACCAGAATAACAAACAAATCTAGTATCTAGTATTGCAACTTTAATAAAGTGGTATGAAAGAGAGGCATGTAGGTAGGTGTGACGAAACCTTACAAGGCAGTGACTGCTGAGTTAAGACCTAACGACTGAGACGTGGGTGGAGAACAGGGAACAGTCATCCAGGCATAAGAAGCAGGAAGCCTGTCAAGCCACACACCCAGGGACACCCTGGGGAAACAAAACCCTGGGGACAGTCACCAGGGAGGCTCAGGAGCTAGCTAGTGTCCTGAAGACCTCTGCCAAGCCCTGCCTCGCCACACTCCATCCCAATACCAGCAGAGCTCTGAACTGCAAGCTGCCAGCTTCCTAATCTAATTAAGAAGCAAACAAAATTCCTTTTCCTGACTGTCCAAAGTGCCGACCTTCTTTAGTGCTTTTCTAGTTCTTTGTTTGGCTGCTGCTCCTGCGGCCCCCAGCTCGTGGCAGCTGGGAAAACAAGTTCAGTCTGCCCCCTCGCCTGACATTTCATATTGATTTTCTCCATCTTCCTCAAACACTAGCCTGCAGTCAAGAGCGGCTCAGCCCAGGAGTGCACATGGAATTGAGACAGTTATCAGAGTTCACAATGAAAAGCAACATTGGCTTTCGGAGATGAGCTGAGAAGGAGGGTATTTAATAACCGTCAGCTTTTAATCAAAATGCCGAGGAGAACCATATTATCAGAGCTGCACGTATTAATTTCCATATGTCCCTCACCATGCATACTCAGCAGGGGCTGGAAGGGATGATTCGTTCTCTCCCTTGTCTCTGTGTTTTTTTCTACTGCTCCTGGCGGTAGTGACAGGGGTCACGTTTGCAGTTTGAGATGCCTGAAGCAATAGGGTGCGGGTGGCAGCAGCATTGGGCTCCTTCGGATATGCTTTTCCCTTTCAGTGCGTGACTGTTGGGCATCTGGTGAAGTAACTGGCCAGGTGTGGCGAGTGAATGTGATGAACCTGAGAAATGAAAGAGGAATTAAGCCTGAGCTCCTTTCCAATGCCTTGAGGCTGGTCCCCACCCACCTCCCCATCCTCGGCTCCCTGCAGCCTGGCCACATTTGCCAGCTTCCTGCC